AGCTTCCCCTGCCCCTCCATGCTAGGGATTGAATCCAGGACATCAGGCATGCTAGGAAGGTTCACTGAGTTACCTCCTGAGCCCCTGGAGAAGTATTCTTTCATAAAGCTGGGTTAAAAAAAAAACCCTAACAAACATATAATCCATCTTTACCCAACTGGTGAAGAGTTTGTTAATTTCATTCCAAATCAGGCCACCTTTAGCTAAAGCTTTAGTCAGAAGGACTATAGTGCAGTGTTTCTTGACAAAGAATCCATGAGCTAAGTACTTTAAAATATCCTACTTTAACTTTCAGGTGCTCATTTAATCTCTAACCCACTATTTTCAAAGGCTGACTACTCTATGGCCGGAGGTGGTCCATTCAATTTATTTATTCATAATTTTTTGGTGGCACTGGGGTTTGAACTCAGGGCCTCACACTTGCTAGGCAGGTGCTTACCACTTGAGCCACTCCACCAGCCCCCAATCAATATTTTAAATGAACATTAAAAAGCTCTGTGCTAAACTTCATTTCCCCACTCATTTGCTCCTAAGGTTTTCACAGAAGTAGTCATTTGTATATTTGATAGTATTTAGAATACGTAAGGTCAGTTAGAACAGATGCTCCTAGGGGTTATATAGTTAAATCAGCTTGTAAGGCAAAACTTTCTTATAATAAAATTTAGTTTTGAAAATCATCTTAAATTGCTCACAAATAAAATCTAATAAAGCAGATTTTACCACCAGGATTGGCTGAGCTGCAGATGAGGTGATTGGCTGGCATTTTAAAGCTGTGTTATATGAAAAGTACTTACCTTTACTCAGCATGTTGCTGAATTATCCATATTATGCAATGCTATGAAATATTCAATCTTTTCCTTTTAAAGATTCACTTATAGAACACCTTATACCTGTCATATAGTGAGCAAGAGTGGGGCACTTGCCAAATTCCTATCAATATAACAGTATGGAAGAGTAGGAAATTTATTAACACAACTGGGAGCCACTTCCTGAAATGAGACTGACATTTAATATTTCTTGTATATATATGTATACACACACACACACACACAATTTTCTTTCTTTGGTGGTACTGAGGATTGAATTCAGAGCCTCATGTTTGTTAGGTAAGTACTCTACCACTTGAACCACACCCCAAGTTGAAATTGACATTTCAAGAGAGGATCAAGGAAAAAAGGGAATGATGAAATGAATACTGTTTTTCAAGAAAGGGAAAAGGAGAATGCTGTAAACAATCCTACTCTGTATCTTGAGACACAAATTTACATGGAGTCATCTTCCAGCCCTGTAATGTTAGGTATTTTATCAACATTTGACTCATCATCATCGAAGAACACTGGTTTGTAGCAAATTCCCAGTACTTCATGTAGGGATTAAGTATACAAGGAACTCCAAATAATGGCATTATTTTGCAAAATAAAAAAATCATTTTCTCACTAGGAAACATTTCAGCTATCAACTGCTTGAAATGTTCAATGAATCCTTTTAAGACATGTATGTACTTCTAAGGAAAGATACCATTCTAGAAACACAAAATACTAATCATTCACATACAGCAACAATCATTTTATGGGTTGTCCTAAAACAATAAAACACCAGCAAGCGATTACAGTGATATGAGAGGGAGCAATAGTGGACAATAACAAGTACTCAATTATTCCAAAGAATCCCACATTCCTTTGCCATCTGATAATTATGAAATTTGTACAGTATAGATCAAAGGCAGCCTTTTATGAGTAAATGAGTTCACTACCATCGATGCTTGATAGATACTGAGGAAAATGGAGAAAGGCATTCCCACATATGTCTTAAGGCAGGGTCTCAGAGGATTTACGGCTGATGGTATGTATAGGACCTAGTTAATTTTTCTTTTTTGTTTTGTTTGCAGTTCTAGGGATTGAAGCTAGGATTTTGTGCATGCTAGCAAGTGCTCTTATAGTCCTTTGTCTTTTTATATGGTGTGGTGGAGGGGCTACTCTGTCTTCAAGTTGATGCTCCATCACTGCTGCAAACTAGTTTTGCCAAAATTTGGCAATTTAAAGTACAAGAGATAATGTCCTGGAAAGGTGGGCTCTTAAGATCTTAATACTATTTACTGTGTGACACTGGACAGCCATCAATCTTCATTTCCATCTGTAAGGAAATGTGGCCAGTAACCTTAATGAGTAGGAAAAGGGTCAAATAAATTTAAACTTCAGAAAGTGTTTTGTGAACCCTAAATACTGTACATACAAACAGCTTAAGGACTACAGAAATTTAGACAATTCAGAGACAAATTCTAGTGTGAATCTTTTATTCTGACAAAAATGAACTTCACAGATTTTATACATTTTCAAGCTTCCACTCACTTAAAAAGCAAAAGACAAATCATCCTATAATCTACTATTTTATGAATAGAATGGTACCAGGTTAACTGCATTTTACATACCATAAAAATAAATTGTGAAGTTCACTATTTCCAAGTGCACTTATGAGAAACATATGAACATACTTGTGTTTTTAACTAGTCAGGTCAACAAACATCTAAGTATTTTGACATATGTATTTCCATTAGTGGTAGCACAACCTTATGAATAACAAATTACAGGAGTCTTTTTTTTTAATACTCCGGATTTGGAAAATGAAAAAAGGAATGGGAAGCGAAATAGCTGAAAATGATACTTACTGCACACACTGCACAACAATAAGCAATGCTAAGTTTCCCTCAAGAATGACTTGAAAATTTAACATTTTATCAGAAAAGCTGGAGTTTAGCCCTAGGTGTGGTAGCACATCCCAGTAATCCCAGCTCCTCTGAGGTGGAGGCCAGCCCAGGCAAAGGTAGCCTCAAACATCTAAACAATATAAACAAATAAAAAAGGTTGGAGCATACCTACAGTTGTAGAGGGTTTGTCAAGCATGCTTAAGCTCCTGGGTTTAATCCCCACCACCACAAAAACAAACAAAAACCAATTGGAGCCTTTAATGTGAAAAGCAAGTTACATGATGCACTTATTCAATCTCTAAAGATCTAGCAAATGACTGATTTTACCCAATTAGTTATCAGCATAATTATTACTGTTCAGCAGAACCTTTAAATGGTTCTGAACCATCTATTCCTTTAGCTGCCTTTGCTTTATGTCATGGAATTTAAGACTCCTCAGTCAGAAGCTGTAGCTTATCTTGCACTAGGTACTAGCAATGTGTAGATTCAGAACAAATTACTGCTTTTCAGCCTCAAGGAATGTTTTTACTTACTTAGATGGTTTTTTCACACACATGTATGGATAAAAGTAGTTCTCAAACATACACAGCCCACTTTCCAAATCCTAAAACAAAAGTAAAGGCACACAAATAGATGATAGTTTATATATTTCATGTGAATATTTTTCATCCATGTTTAAACAATTCAACTGCCATCAGGATGTGATCAGCTTTTTACAAATTTCTATGACCTGTAAAACTAATGACTTAAGAACCAAAAACTGTACTCTGTGCAATCCATGTGTGAGTCCTTCATTCCTCTATCCTGCAGGCTGCACAACTTAGGTTTCAGCAGTTAGAATGAAAAGATTAAGGGTGAAGGACTTGGTCACGTTATTCTCCCACAAAAATTTCTAGTCTTGTTACAAGACTTAATATGCTTGTGAGTTAAACTTTAAAGTAATTATAATGCCTTTTGTAACACAAACTAATGAAATGTAATTAAGAATCAACACACTTATACAAGTTTTTTATTTTAATGAATGGTATTTTTCATCTACACACATAAGAATATAATAGCTAGCAGCATTAAAATATAGAAATAAGCCCATCTCTTGTTTTTCCTTTTATAAAGTGCCATTTTTAGCTAGGAAGATTTACTACCCAGTTTTTCAGTAACTACACCAGAGCTCCTGGAGTGAATTCAAAGAAACTGAAGAAAATTGAAAGAATTAGCATTTAAAGCTCTTACAAAATGTTGCTACAAAGCAGACTATTAATGTATTATTAAAATAAAAAATGTCTCTTACATGAAAATCATTAAGCTGATTTAATAATTACTTCATAGAAGCATAGGCTTACTAATATTTATGCTAAGTTTTGCTAATTGTCTAAACCTGAAAAGGTTTCTACTAAGTAATTCAGTCTAAATACCTAAGAGTTAAGCTAAATGGAGTCAATTTTTTTGTATGATCCCCAGAACAAAAACCACAGCAAAGTTAGACATTTAGAATAGCAAAACAAGTTAGCGACAATCAGAACAAGAGACAGTATTTTATTTAAAAGTACCATAGGCTGCTAGGTGTTCTTCCTTTAAATAAAATTTTGTGCCATTATTCATAATGTATCATAACACATTGGTGTTACATAGGTGCAAACCCGGACTACAGTAATTTAAAAGTGAATGTAGCCCATTTCTTCAGTTCAGTGATTAAAACTGAAATTGCTTTTTAAAAAAAAAAAATAAACTGCTGACAATACAAACAAGATATTACAGGATTCCCATTTTATTCACATTATTAGTATTCTCTCTTATTAGTATTTTTGCATTTCGACTGACTTGACCTTCAGTAGTACCTTAAAAGCACATGGAACTAGTAGGGAAAAAAACAAAAATGAAAACAAAAAACTCCACCCCAAAGGGCTGTACAGAGTTTTGTTCACCAGTCTATTTACAATTTGCATTTTTTGTTGCTCTTGTGAGTTATATAAAAGTACAGTATTTGTTACTTTGCATAACATTCAGCAAAGGTCAAGCAAAGGAACTCTGAGTCATCAATCTCTCAATTTAGATACATTTGTAGTCCTCAGGAACAGGGACTCCTGGTCACACGGGTGGAGTGTGGAAGGTCAATACATGATAAATCACTTAAAAACAAATCTATTTCCCCAAGCAGAATGAAGCCTAAAGGGAATTCCTCCCCACCCATTCTCAGCCCTCAGGTTAGAATGCCTAATTTAGCCTCAGTCTTTTCTGGTCCCACTTTCTAAAACATACCCAGTATCTTGAAGACAAATCTTTGCATTAAAGATTTTTTTTACCCAAATACATTGGATTTCGGTCTCAATTTGAAGGAAGATGAGTGGCCTTTAAGGGACCTCTCCTCTTCCTCCACCTCCTCCCCTTCCTCCAATGGCTGCTCCTGGTCCCTTAAGGAGGGTGTAGTGTGGATTATCTGGGTTCGGAAGCGTATTTTGTTGAGTCTGGGTTTTATCCGTCCACTAGAACTGCCCAAGGATTTGCGACCTGGATCTTTTGCTTTGCCTCCGGCCCAACACTCAGTCAGGTGGTGGTGATGGTGATGATCTGCTCCATCTTCCAAGACGTGAGAGAGTTTGTAGGTGATAAGGTGCGACGGGAGCACTTTGGAAAGTCTCCAACGTCCACCCCCGCTGCCAGTGGCGCTCTCCCCGTCGTCCTCATCCAGGGCTCCTACCAGGTTTTTGATCTCCTCTGCAATGCTGTGACTAAGGTACTGAGAGGCCTTTTTTCCACTGTAGTCCCTGATATCCACGTCTGCATCATAGGCCCCCACTAGTAACTTCACCACCTCTACATGCCCGTGCATGGCCGCCAAGTGTAAGGCGGTGTAGCCTCCGCTCGTCCTGGCGTTGATGTTCACCGGCAACTGGTGTTTGTTGGCAAAGCTGACCAGCATGGCCAGGAGCTCCTGCCTGCCATGCTTGGCGGCCCAGTGCAGGCAGGTGAAGCCAGTGATGAAGTCCCGTTTAGCCAGCAGACCAGGATCGCAGGTGAGCAACCCTTCGAGGCTGTCCCACTTGGCGTCCGAGGCAGAGAGCATCCAGGCGTGCTCCAGAGGGTCCAGCGTCACCGAGCCACCGCCGCTACTCTCCTCCTCTGCAGATGAAGCCACCGATGCGCTATCGGAGTCGCCCCCGCCTCGACCGCGCCCTCCCCCAGAAAAGCACCCGTGGCTGCTGCCCCCAAAACACACGTTCCTTTTCAGCTGTGGGGAATGGCCCATCACCAGGTCACGGAAGTTCTGACGTACTGACCTCGGGGTCGTAGGCCCACTAGGGAACCTGCCTCCGTCAGCCTCTCCGCAGTTATGGGGTGGGGGTTCCAGGTCCTCACTGGGCCCGGGGAATAGCGCCGAGGGCAGGGCCTGGACGTCGCGTCGCGAGTCTTTCCTCGCCGGCCCACAGCTTAGGAGCGACCCTTGAACGGCGGCAGAAGGTTCCTCATCGCTCGGCTCTCTGCCCGACCCCGAAGGCGCCTCAGGGCCCGCTGATTCCGGGAAAGGGCCACTCTCCCCCTGCCCGGCCTGAGAGTCCGGAACTTCGGGCTCGGCGTTCACCTCGATGCCTGGAAGGTCTCCGGGGGTCTCGGCCCCTGGCGGAGGGGACCCCAGGCAGAACCTCTTCTTGAGGTGTACATACTTGGCGCCATCCGCAGGATCCGTGCGCACAGTGGCCACAGCATTGACCAGCTCCTTGAAGCGGGCGCGAGCGTGAGCGCGCTGCTCCGGATGACCGCCCAGGGCACTCTTGAAGTGCTGCACCAGCTCGGTGTGCCCGGCCCGGCCACCGCGCTCCACAAGGAAGCGCAGCACCACCTCCGGGCCCAGCTCCTCCTCGGGGCTCGGCTCCGTCGGCCCCTCCATCCGCGGCCGCGCACCTTTTCCACACGAGGGCGGTTTACCCGGGCCCCATCCCCGCTCACCAAGAGATCATACCGGATCCACCTGAACCGCGGTTCGGGATATGCAGTAGACCAACACTTGCCACCGCCTCAAAGGGGCCCAGCCCCGACAACCCCGCCCCTGGCCCCGCCCCCGCCGACCCGTCCCGCCCACTTCCGGTCTCTACCAGGGTCCGCAATCTGTGCTCCCGCCCGCCGGCGGCCACGCCCATTTCCGGTCTTCCGTTGGCTTGCATCCCGTATTCCCGCTGGCGCGGAATGAGCCTCCCCGACCTTCTTCCTCGCTTCTTTCTTGTGTTCTTCTCCAGCCGCCCTCCGCACTGAGTTTCCTTCCTCTAAAACGTCGGTAGACAACCGGGGGAGTGGCTTGCTCGTCGCGCGGGAAACGTTCGGTGCAGTCAATGGCTCGTCTTCGTGGCCTGCAGGCTTGGCTCCGCCCTTCCCCGAACCCCGCCGCGAAGGTCGCCCCGCCCGTTAACGGCTTCGGCCGCGCCCGGCCTCCACCATCACCCCCGCCG